ATTTTATTATTGTTGCGCCAAACAGTATGCAACACTTTATTTCAGCGCTATGTGCTTCCGCCGCTTCCTGTGCCTTGAAGCGCCCAAAAGCATTCCACGTTTTATATTGCTATTTTTGGTGGTGCCGCCGCCGCCGCAGCTGCTTCTACTGCTGCTGCTGCTGCTGGAACCAGTCCAAGTGCTGACTCCTCGGGCTGTGCCAAAAAGTATGCTACATAGTTTTTACATGCGATTTGAATGAGCACAAACGGATATCATGTCTTTCCCAGGGTGTTTGTGCATGTGTGTGTATGTTGTCCAAAGTAAGTAGCATATAAGTGCAATGGGAATCGTTTTAAAACACTCGAATGCAATTCAGTTTGGGGTTTTTTCTGCAAAGATTATTAGAACAGACGTTTTTCTTGGCGCCAGCGTCTGGCATTTTGTCAGCTTGCGAGGCTACAAAATTATTATGGACTGCCGGCTAAAGCTAATTATGACAAGGAGCATAAGTTCGTGCTTCAGCTACATTTCTTCTTAATTTTAGCTCTGAATAAATGTAGTTCGGTTTTGGTTCAGTTTATAATTGGGCAGCTGCTACCTAATTAGTTTGCATCAAGCATTAATATATATATATCGACTCAGGTGTAAGAAATTAGCACAATTATTGATTATATAATTCGATAAACGAATCCAATGTGATAACATTAAAAACCACTTAAAATACTCTCCTTTAAATTATTAACTAGAGAGCTGTTAAAATGGTTCAATCTAAATGAAGCATATTGTGTTATTTAATAAAAAATAAATCAAATGCAGATTTCGTACGCAAATTATGCTCATTTACAAAATCTATTTATTGTTAATTGAATCAATTCCTTTTTATAACGAATACACGCCGCCATACGGTTGGCGTGAAACTTTTAATAAACCATCGTTGGGCCATTGAACCAAGTAACAAACAAATAAAGGAAAAAAAAAAACTATGCATAAATAAAATATTCGTTAACTTTTCTCACCAGGCTTTTGTTATGTCATGTTCAAACCGAGTTCAGAGCTCAGCCCTTTGAAAGTTCAATAGCAAACATTTAGAAAAAAGAAAAAAACTCAACTCGGAATAAAGTTGGAAATAACTGTTGAGGGGGTGGGAGTGTGTGGGAAGGGGGGAGGCGGTTGAAGTACTAACTGACGAGACTTTTTAATGGGCCGGCTTCAAACTACGTTGGATATCCGTTTCAGACTTTGGCATTGTTGTGCCGTTTGCACGGGTTTTTTGACCGATGTTTCAGATGGGTTTTAACCATGACGTTTGCTAGCCCAAAATTGAAGAAGGCGAAGGGATTGTGGGTCGAGATGGTAGAGGGGGAGTTGCCACATTCGTGCTGGGCGTTTATTTTATGTCCTCTGTTGCACTGTGTTGCACGCAATGTAAATGCTAATTAAGACCCGTTACATGCCACTATCTGGGCGTGGCAAAGTGTGTGTGCGCGTGGGTGTGTGTTTTGGTGGGGGCGGGGGCGTTTTGGACCGTGTTTGCCTCTTAATTGCGTAAACCAAGCGTTTGATTAGTATTTGCACAGCAATTGACATTAAACAGTTCAATCAATAAAAAATTCAAACGGAAGCCGCACGCCATACTCAAGTGTGAGCTGCAGCAAATATTTAATGTCTTAAGGGTTGTCCAAATGGGGCTGTCATTGCTGTTGCTGTTGGAATATTATTATTAGCACACATCAGAATTCAACAATGGCTCGACTGGGGCTAAAACGGTCGTTGGCCCCAAAAGTTAAAGAAGTCAGGAACCTCAATTGGGCTGTCAATCAACGCGTCCACTCGCGTCACTCTGTGCCACAATAATAGAGCTATTGATTTTTCGGCTTCCCCTTCCACAATCGCAATACCACCTCCCTAATGAGTTTAGGGGCGTGCATTGACATGGGCACGACCCTTGATCGTCTAATTAGCTGAATGTTTGACATTGGCTTCGATTTGACTGCGCGTAACTGGAAATTTTAATGCGACGGCATTCAAAAAATTCCAGATGAAGGGTAGGCTCAAGTGTATAAAGTAGAGTATATTCTAGACTTGCTTTTTATTGGAAACAATGCTACTAAATGTATAATGTAACAGTGTAGAGCATAACTGTCTCGACTCGATTAGACTGCACACAAGCCACAAGCCTACACTGAAAGCAAAAAGGGTGTGAGTCGAACTGCCCTCCAAATTGGTTTCATTTCATGCGCTCAGCTTGAGCTCAAATGTCGCCTCGGCGCCACAGCAAAACATATCATTTTCCAGCTAAATAAATAAATAAAATATTGCCAGCATTGGAAGATTGCGCTGTTTATGCTGAAGCGGCGCACAAAATGGGAGCCACTTGTTGTGCCTATTCGAAAAGTGTTGGCAGTGAGTACAGACTTGTCTCTAAATCTATTTAATGTAACTATTAATTATTAGAATTATTAATTTTATTATTTAAATTATAATTATATTATCATAACATATAGCTTATAATATATTATATTATTATTATTAATTATTTTTGCGTTGCTTTATATAGACTTAGTCAATTTGTTCGATCAATTTAAATCGAATTTATACATTAGTATCTAAAAGTGGATATACTTGTATTTAGAACAACATACTATTCGACATAGTAAAATCCTAATCGAACATGTTTCTGCTGCCGTCAGTTAATCAAAATTTCTGCTAAACATGCCACAGGGCTAACAAAACTTTTGTCTTGTGGCGCTAAAATGAAAAAAAAAATTAGCAGAAAATGTCATTTTAATGAAATATGCGTTTGTTTAAGTCGTAAATGAAAATCATAATTGTGACATTTGGTTTGCCTGAGTTGGTAAACTGAAACTGACGTCGAATGAAATCTAAGACTTTCAATGCATATCTGAGTCGAGCAGACTCTGGTGCACACACATACATACATGTTCATTTAATTGTCACTCTTACAAGCTCACACACACAGGCACACACACACAACATTGTATGGGTGGCAGCTACGTTGTGGCAAGTTCGTAACTTGCTTTGCCAGTTGTAAGAAAAAACCAATAATGAAATGGCACTGAGATTGTACTTGTAGCCACATGCAGCATCCTTATGGGTGGTTCGAGCTGTGAGTGTGAGTGAGGGTATGCGTGGGTCGGCTCAGCTGGCCCCTTTATCGATTAGCGCATGTAACTGTTTCTACCTATGAGTGTGTGCACCCACACACACACACACACACACTTACAATAACAACAACAACAACTGCTTGCTGTGCTTTAACTTATATAAGCTAATATGGGTTGCAGGCGCACTGTGTGGGGCAGCGTTGGATTGGGGCTGTACTTTTTGGTGGCACAAAGCAAATGACGCTGGAAATGAAAGCAGGAAACGTTGCCGCATTCATTCATTTTACACACAAAAGCCATTAAAACGCTTTGATTCCATTGTTTTGTTTGTCATCATCAACATTAGCGTCAGAGGCCAACGGGGCAACATCATCGGTTGGCCAAAAGGGGGCTGGCCAGCTTAAAGGCTTAACAGCTTAAAGACAAGTCTAGCATTTTAGTTTTCTATTAAAAAAAAAAAGTCACGCGTGTTCGACAAAGAATTTTATGGCAATTCAATTATGAACCGGACAAGTTGGATAATGAAGAATCCAAGTTAGTTTTAGTTGAAGAAAATTAAATTTTTGTATTATTTAACATATTAATTAAATACCTGGATAGACACAAGTATGAAGCATCGAACCTTTTTGTCAGTTAGTTTCTTCTCTTTATAGGTTGCATTAAACTTTCTGTCTTACCTTTTACATCCTCATATTATTCTCCGCCCAACTGTGCACTTTCACTCAATATTTCGCTGTTATTGTGGTTGTTCCTGTACCTCAATATTTTTATTATTGAAAGACTTTTGCCTGAGCTGCGGGTTTTTTTATAAAGTGCCTGCGGCATCTGTTCCGCTCTGCTCCCGATGGAGCCACGACCCTCGAACGTCTCGACGTCCGACCGAGTCTTGCGGAAAAATCAACATTGCACAAAAGTTTTCAGCGCCCGATGCCAGCTGCCAGCACCACCAAGCAACAGCAGCACCACCTACACCACCTCCACCACAATCAACCAGCATGCTTTTGCACCACACTTTTTTGTTTTGGCTTAGCGTTGATGATGTATGCACTTTGAAAAGAGTTGAGCAAAGTGGTTTTTCGGGTTTGATGAGCTAACGTCAGCCATCTGCACCGCCCAAAAGTCCACCCACCACCCATCGACCCTGGAAATATGAGTGCTCTGTTTTGCTGTGTCTGCGTCTGTGTGTGTGTGTGTGCGCTTTTGTGTGCCCGTTTGTCTATGTGTGCGTGTTTGCATTTCGTTGGCTGCATAATAAAGTTATTAATAGACTTCAATGGCGTTTCAATTATGCAATTTCTGCGATTTGAATTTAAATGATATTTTGATTGTTTGCTTTGCCGGTTAGTTTTTCAAAGTTTTTAGCTGAATGAGCGATTAATGTGCAGATTATAAAATTTCCAAGTCCGTTCCCATTTTCATAGAAATAAGATCTTCATTTACATTGAAATAAAAACCAGAAAATTCGATTTTCTTTGGCAGAGGGCCCTATATAGATCTGTTGAGTAAGGTCACGTATATTTAAATGGAGATTAGTTCAGCAAGCTATTACTAAATTTGGTTAGATATTAGTTTCGACCAAGTAATCCTTCTTCAGGTACATATTTCTTAGTTTAATCTTGTCGTTTGTTTCTACAGAGTTATGTACGTGTATATGAAATGTAGAAATGACAAATATATTATACTAAAACTTAGTTTTCTACCAATAATTTCGGTAAATAAGTTGATGTAACAATATCATATTCAAAAAGTATATCAAATACATATTGAAATCCTAAAAACATTATAATGATTAAAACACAATAACTAAATTCTGTTAACATAATCATGTTAAGCAATGTGGTATACGATATATCGTTTAGCTGTTTGAAGAAATACTAAGTTTCAGGGCAGCAAACCTGTGCTCTACATAAAAGCTGGGCACACTGAAAAGAACACAAGATAAACGAATTGTCCGAAATTAATTTGATGTAAGTACATCCCGAGCGTAGTTAACAATAAATAAGTTGCTCGTTTTATATATTTAGTATGATTTTCAGAAGGAACGTAAAGTAAAGGGCATATATAAATGAAGCATAAAGATCATAAAAGAGTCAAAAAGGCGAAAAAAGATAAGAAACGTTCAAAAACGCACCGAGATGATTCAAAAAAGTCAAAGAAGAGAGACAAAGAGGCAAAGCACAAGACGGAATCAGGTCCAATAAGCAGCGATCCAGAGCAACAGATCAACGGCGACAATAAGCAGCAGACGGAGCCGGTCATATCCGACTTCGATGTGCTCAGCATTTATGCGGATATATCAAAACTAAGCGCTGTAGAGCGCTATTTGAACATGCTCTATCGGTAAGTCAGAACCGACCGATTCATGTGCATGGAGGGAGTGTGTACAAAAGTTTTCGTTTCAGTCCGTTCACGTGCTTCGTGAAAACCAATTGCGAATTCAAACTCTCAGAGTTGGACTGTTTTCTGTCGGACACGCGCTATGAGCCGGATAAGCACTCGGCTCTGCTCATACGGCTCTCGAGTCCAATATGCAGCTTAAGGCTTTACGATAATGGAAACATCTGCTGCCAGGGCTACTCTTACGATAGCGCCGCCCTGGGCATACATCGCTTTATTGGCACCATGGAGCACCTGGGCTACTCGCCCGTATTTCAGAATCCCAAGTTTAATGTGGTCAATGCGACATTCTGTATGCCATTTAGCATTCACCTAGAGCAGCTTTATAGAGAATATCATGAGGATTGCTTATACAATCCAGAAACACGTCCATATCTGACATACCAAATACGCAACTCCTCCATTAAATTGGCCATCTTTCACGTTGGCTATGTGTACGTACTTCTGTCCTCCCAGCCGCGTTTCACCCAAAAGGCAATCGCTTTCATAATGCCCATACTCTTCCGCCATAGAGCCGCCAATAGGCCCAATGTTGCGGAGCTGAGCAGCGGCGACATCAATTTCAAGTTGCTGTGGGAAAATGAATTCCAGAACGCATACCAAGGCACTCTTAAATATTCCAGATGAGCAATAACTTTGTTCAACAATGTTGATTCTTTATTGCTGCCGCTGTTGTTGTTGTTGTTGTTGTTGTTGCTTTTTATGCGCTGGCGTTGAAGCCAAACTTAAATTTTCATATATGAATATCAAAGTTTTCTATATGAGCATGCATATCCGGTGTATTCTCATAACTGTCGAAATGCCGCGCCCGGAGCACAGGAAACTTTTTAGTCGGCTATTTAAATGACAAGAGCCGTTATGCAAACACACACACACACGAACACGAACACCAACACATACGCAAATTATTTAAATATGTACATAGCTAATTCCAAGCGAAAACAAAGAAAAATGCTGAAAGCTAAAATTTTATAAGTAAATAAATGAAAATATATTTCTACTATCACCTTTTTTATACACCCTGTACCCATTGTGAATTGTTAAGAAATGATATCCTGTTTGTATGCGTAGGCATGTAACAGGCAGAAGCAGGCATCTCCGATCACATCAATATCAATCTCAGTCGACTCAGCCATTTCCGTCTTTATATAAAAAATCGATACATATCGGTTTTGAAACAAGCTTTCTTAGGCATATCTCGGAGATTATCGGAGCTATAAATATAAAGCTTGCTATGTATATTCTCGAATGTTTCACATTTTGGAAAACTCCCCCTATTTTGCCCAAAATTGAACTAATTTTCGGCGGTCCCATAAAGTGAAGTTAAGGCAAATAGAAAAAAGATTATAAGAAATTCTCATGCTTGAACGGCAGCTCGTCTCTTGGTTAAGGGCATCTGCTAGTCGGGCACTGCCGACTAGAGTTCTATTGTTTTTTTTTTTATATTTTATGTGAGTTTTTTACAAGTCATTAGCTCCATTTGCTTCCACACACAAATGTCAACCCATTTAAGGGGTCGCGGCGCAAAAACACTAAAAATCACTCACAAATTTACAATGTAAATTCAAAATGCAGCTCATCGAATTCCATGTTTGCATTTGGCAGACATAAAAATGACAGTGACAGGGCTTGCCACATGGTGGGGCAGGGACTGTTGGGGTTGGAGTTGAGGTTGAGTTTGGGGTTGAGGTTGAGCTTTCCGAGAGCCACGAGAAACCGGATCGCAGCGCAAATGTGTGAAATGAAATTTGAAACTGTCGTTCGCCCAGTTGCTGGCCATTTCAGACCTATTGCATTTGAATAGTTTTCGTCGGCGTGAAAAACAATTCAGTGCCATATTTGTGTGCACTTGTCGCATTTGTGTTTGTTTTGCGATACACACACCCACCCATGTAGAGTATTCACTGGTCCGGTCTGGCCCAGAGCGATATGGCTGCAGCGGTTACGATATAAGCGGATAATTTTCAATATTTTTGTTTGCAGTTTTTGGTCGCGTTTGGCTGCTTTTGTTTGTATTGAAACATTTTTGAACCGTTGACGGCTTTTCGCCTGTTTTCGCTCTGTTTGAGTGGCTTGTGGGCTGTTGGGCTTATTCATTAGATTGGCGTATACCCTGTATACCCTTTTGATTTTTCTTACCTCAAAAAAATAGAAGGTTTGTAGTTCTAATACTTTCTGGCAGATTGACTATTGATGCTGACCAAGGGTACTAATGGGAGAAAATGTGCCATAATTTTCCCGGGTACCCACATTTGCACAAACCATAATAGCCTTTCTCTTACACATTTTCAAAATTTGCTCGTTACAGCAACGGTCAATTGCTTACGAGAGGTGCTTACATTATCGATATGTCGCTTAAGGTGCACAAGTGTTATCGATAGTAATTGGTGCTAGTTGTCCTAAACTAAAATCTGTGCGTGTTTGTGTTTCAGTTATAAATTGTTTTATTTGTTGTTTTAATTGTTATCTTGCCGGGCAATCCAGGTGAGTATTCATACACGCAACTCTAATAATCTTAATTGTGCCAGTAAGAATTCTGGCGTACATTTTTTGCACGAAGCTAGAAAAATTCTTGCGTAGGTGTCGTTCGCTCTTGGCTAAATGAAAATTTTACTTTAGCATTCAAAAATATTTGCGCTATAAGCAAATTAACTATTAAATCTGCTCAATTTAAACTAGAAACGCAAAAAAGCAGAGCTAAGAATGCAGAATATAATTAATATTGGTTTGTTGCGTGGGTGCTGACATATTTAGAGTGACCATGACATGCTGTTGTTGTTGTGCTGGGGCTGACGGCGGGGTGCTGAGTGACCAAGCATTCACGAAGCTGCTGCTTCTTGTTGTTATTGGAAGAGGCTAGAAATCTGTGTGTGTGTGCGTGTTTGTGCCTGCATTTTCATAATTTCTGCACAACAAAAAACGAGGGGCATGACAATGGTGCAAAAGGAAGAAACGAAGCGCAGCAAATTCCAAAGCAGTGGAATTTATGCAGCAAATATTAACTTACCACACACACACACATAACCAAACACACATGCATGCATATACACACATAAATTGTGTGCAAAATTTCTCATGCTATTCATGTAAAACGCAACGCAGAGAAAAACCAAAAGCAAAAGCAAAGAGCAAGGGAGAGAAGGTCGCAGCAGCCGTTGCCCAATTTGTGCATGGGCCAGCAAGAACTGACAACAAAACTCATTAGCAGAAGCGGCGACCGTGACCGAGACGGCGAGTATGCCGTTAGAATTGTCGGCAAAGGGCGTGCGAATGCCCAAAGGGAGAGTTGGGGGCGTTGCTGCTGGTCAACCGAAGCCAGAACGCAGCATGCACTTTCATTTCTGAAAGTTTTCGCTATTTTATTCATATTTTTGCTGGGCCGCTGCCGCTGCTGCACTTTATCTTTCTGTGGCGGTCTTAGTTGGCGAAATTGTGTGCAACCACGAAAATCTAATAAGCGCGCAAATTTGTTGACATTGCGCAAATGTTTTTTACGAGCGTCGCTCGCAAGTCCAAGAGCCTAAGAGTAAAAACTTGGAGCGCAGCGCACCCCTCGCGCACCCCTCGCTCCACACTGTACACCGCAGATGTCCATTAAAGAAGAAGAAAGTCGCACCTAAAGCGCAACGGATGAAGCAACTGCAATGACAAAGAGCGATAGACATGAGGGAGACTGACTAAAAGAGAGAGAGAGAGGGAGGGAGAGAGCGATAAAGTGGTTGTGAGCGAGAGCTACTGAAAGTACTTGACGCTTTTGACTTTGCTTAGTCGCGCGAGATGTTCCGTAAACTTTTTGGCTTTTGCGCTTTGAAAATAAAAATATAAGAAAAAACCAAAAAGCAACTGAGAACGAAAGCTTGCATCAAAGTCCGTCAGGTAGCTGCAGACACGGCACAGACATATACAAAGATGGCGGAGGGACAGTGTTGCCACACCATCAACTGATATGTCAGCGGATAGCCGCAGTCGAGACGAGACAATTTCATTAACCGCGGGGCGGGCAACTGGCAGCAGGCAGTGGACAGAGGGCAGCAGGCCGCAGGCTGCAGGCACGTTAAGTCCAACAGACTTGCCTTTGATTTTATCATTTATAGCTTCACTGTACTATATATGTACACGAGTATATGTATGTAAATCGGATTCTGCATAATGGACGCGTAAAGTTTTTTAATTATTTTTGTGGTTTTAAATTGCATTTCTTGTGAATCTGTGCAAAAAGGGCGGACGACACGATGTCCGTGCGAGAAAGGCAACCACAAATGCGCCGACTTTATCAGCGCCTGGCAATTGTCATCTGTGCGCATGCTGGGGGCGGGAGGGGTGGTTTGTAAAATAAAGGATGAAAGCACACGTCGAAGTGCGTTGCATTCAGTTAAGGCAAAGTGCAATAACATGTTATTTTATTTCATGTTTAACCAACGTGCATTTCGCTTTCCTCATCATGTCGCCTGTTAACAGCAAGCGGCTTTAAAGCATTCCAGCCCTATTACGCAATTACAAGTGGAATGACACGGGGCGCGCATTTCGCTTTCAGAGTTGCATTTACTTTTCATTATATTATTGAGTCAAATATACGAGTAATTGAAATCACACACTCCACATTTCATTCCGCCGAGCAATATGAAATTCATGGGTAATTGGAATGGATGCCATACATAAAGTATAAATGCACGAATTGCAATAAAGGCCCATACACGGCCAAACATTGTTGTATAACAACGACAGGAAATCAAATTAACTCAATTCAAGTATTTTGCATTTAAGCTCGATAATATTGAAGTAGTATTTTCTTAAATGTGATATTTCAACTTCAAGTTGTAGCACAACAAATTGATTTCAAATAAGGAATTTTGCTTTCATGTCTATTATTATGGACTCAAGGAGTAAACAATGCCCTTAATTCTAAAAATGTTCAAATTCTCGTTGTTAAAAGAAAACAAAAACTCAATATAGTTATTTTAGGCAGTGTGTAAAATTTTAAATTTATACACAATTCCAATGTTAATGTTAATTAAAGCTGATGGAAGAGCTACTAGTTTATTGGCGGAACTATTTCTACTCGATAAAAACCAATTTCAATTTTGCTAATTAAATATTTATTATTTAATTAGCATTCTAGTGCATACCGAAAGACTTTTTCAAGTAGCAAAAAATGCTGGCGTTCCACTTGCAAATCAATTAGTTGATATGCTGTTAGCAAAAAGAAAAGAGTGTATAAAGAAAAGTTAGGAAAATTTGCTGCCGCCTGTCAAAAGTCGCTGCTAGCAAAAACTTTCCTCCGAGCAAGTACGATGCATTTTATTTAACACTCGGCCAACGGCATACGCCCTCTAAACATGGCAAGTAAAGTTGTTCCGAGTGCTCACATCAATTTTGCCAAAAAACTGGGTTAAAGATGCCACACACACACGCACACTCACACACACACACACACACATGCTTAAATGTTTTCCAACCAAACACGATTTCAATTTGCCTCGTTGATAAACGCCAAAAAATTAATTCAGCTAGCTCACAAAATGCCTCTAGTTTTTATCTGTGTATGTGGTAAAAATATTTTCACTTTTTAGCTGTGATTCCATTTTTGGCTAACACACACACACACACACACACACATATATATATATATATACAATCATGTGTGTGTGCAGTATTTATGT